CTTTTCATTCGCATTCCTCTGTTTTTACACTAACTCGACCCCCAACTCGATCGAGCTGTAATGCTCTGTTTCTACTCGATCGACTCCTAGGTCGAACTGCATTACAGTGGCTTGTTTCTTATTTATTTCATGCATTCATAGCTTGTTTCATACTCGCATTGCACTTTTATTTCATTTTAGGTTGTTAGAGTTACATCCAATCCACCTTTATCTTATTTTCTTGACTTCCTTGCATTTGCATATCCTCATAGAGTGACAACAAACCCATTTGGATTGATAACCTGTTATGCTGCATTGACTATGATGATAAAGAGGAATTGATTGAATGTGATTGGATCATACCATCCATTTCTTATCCCACCTTTGTTTGCATCCATCACATATCATTTCATACTTCCATTCCATATCACTCACAATCCTGTTCATCAAACATGCCGACTGACCATCCGAACAGTCTAGTCGATCCAAGCCTGTTTCTGAAGTCCGTTTCACACGATTTCATGGCCCGTCTAACCTAATGCTGCCTTCGAAGACCTACTACTATAAATACAACTTTTTAGCCTCTTGAGAGAGAGAGCCACATATTGTAATAGTTCAACAGTAAGAGTTTTTGTTCTAAAGATTTCAAGGAGAGGATCTCTCCTCCTTATTAAATTTGGAGAAGTTTTCTAAACCTTTATCTATCTATGATGTTTTTTTCATCTCTTGGTGTTGTTGCATTGATTATGTCTGAGTAATCTTCTAGTTAGGTCGTGGGTTTATCAAAGAGTTCATGGCTTGATAGGTTGTTAGAAATCGATTAGGGGTTCACCATTATAGATCTTCATCTTCACTTGAATTCATTACTGCTTGCTTTTCTGATCAACTAGCATCAGATCTTAGGTTTTATGTACATTCCAAAAGCTTGCTATGTAACCGAAACTAGTGTTTGGTGATATACCTCTAATTTACCCACTTTTTATACTGTTTTAGCATTGTTTTCTAATGTTTTTTGGCAGGTTTTCTATCTAAAAAGGTAGTTTTACTGTGTTTATAGTGTCTAGAGTCTAAACAGGTGAAATGATGCATTTTGGAGCAAAACCATAGGATTTGCACTTCAAGCAGCTCCATGCACAAGCACCAACTTTAAGAGGGCCCAGAAAAAGATCTACTCAATGGATTTCATCAAGACCAGTTCCCTGCGTGCTCTGATTGAGTTAACTTTCCAACACAACTGGAACGGCCTAATTTGGATGAGTAGAAAAGGAGTTATAGCCAAAAGAGTGGAGACTGTCCAGACGGCTCTATCGAGAGAACAACGCCCAAACCGCGTAGTCCGGCTGGCCGAGGAACGCATGTTCCGCGCTCGGCCAAAGCTGCGTCTGTCCGACTGAAGTCTCGGCCAAGTCCAAAACCACTCGGCCGATCACGCATCACGACCCGGGAAACTCAAGCCCACGGTCGGCCACGCCACACCGGCCACGACTCAACCGCGCACGACCAAAGCGCGCGAGCCGGGAAGTAATGACTCACGGCCGCGCAATGATATACCTCTAATTTACCTACTTTTTATACTGTTTTAGCATTGTTTTCTAATGGTTTTTGGCAGGTTTTCTATCTAAAAAGGTAGTTATACTGTGTTTATACTGATGTGAGAAAGAGAGAGGAAAAGAACTCATTGCACTTAAAAAGGCAATCTTGGAGAGGATCAAGTGGGTAAGAACAAGTTCAATTGATCGATTTCCCCTTGATAAAGAATTCACGCTTTAAATTTATGCAAGAGGTTAGCAATAGAGAGTTTGGATTGCTGGATGAGACTAGTTGGGTTGGTATTGTTCGCTAAATTGCAGGGTGTATGTGAAGCTAACCTTATGTTGTCTATGTTCATAGTGGAGTACAGGAAAGGAACCTTTCACAGGATATTCAAAAGAGCAATGGAGCTTCCACGTTTTCATTGATGCTTGCCAAATAATTTCCATCTCTCAGGAAATATATGAAAGCCATACTCACAAGCAATGTGAGTCTTGAAGAAGGAGCAATGATGATTACAAAGGAGTGTAGTGCCATACTTCAGAATCGCATGCCAGAGAAGCTGAACGACCCAGGGAGTTTTGTTTTGTCTTGCAAGATCGGTTCTACACACTTCCATAGAGCACTTTGTGATTTGGGTTCAAGTGTGAACCTAATGCCTTACTCAGTGGCCAAGCTATTGGGCATCACTGACTTCAAACCTACAAAGATCTCTCTAGTCTTTGCAGACAGATCTGTTCGCCGCCCTGTTGGTGTTATTATGGATGTTCCAATCATGGTTGGAGATTGCTACATCCCTGCTGATTTTGTAGTTCTTGAGCTGGAACACCAACCTAAAGACCCTCTTATCTTGGGAAGGCCATTCCTAGCTACTGCAGGAGCTATAATAGATGTCAAGAATGGAAAGATTGACTTGCATCTTGGAGATATAGTGATGAATTTCGAAGTAAACAAGTCTATGGAGAAGCCAACTGTAGATGGTCAAGCCTTTTGGATTGGAGAGCTCGCAGAGACAAGAGAAGAAGTGCTGGATGAACTCCTTCTTATTGATCCCTTGGAGCTAGCTTTGACAAAAGCTGAGAATGAGTATGGATACATGGAAAGAGAAGCTCAATGCTTAGTCAAGTTCATGGATTCAAAGGAAGCTTATAAGGAGCTGATAGCTTATATGGACTTAGAGAGAGAAGAGGAAGAGCCAGACATTGACAAGAATCAGGAAATATCACAAACCAAAGTTAAGTTCGACCCATGGTGCCCACTTAGAGCCCCAAAAGCCGAGCTCAAACAACTCCCAGTTGGTCTAAGGTATGAATATCTTGGTCCTAATGAAACATATCCTGTTATTGTTAATGCTGCACTAACAAAAGAAGAGACCGCTTTACTTGTTCGCGAACTGAGAAAGCATAGAAAGGCTCTTGGTTATTCTTTGGATGATTTAACAGGAATCTCACCTGAACTATGCACACATCGCATCATCCTGGAGGATGAGTCTAGTTCTTCAATTGAACACCAAAGGAGGCTAAACCCCAACCTAAAGGAAGTTGTCAAGAAGGAGATAATGAAGCTACTGAAGGCTGGAGTGATTTATCCAATATCAGATAGTGCTTGGGTCAGCCCTGTACATGTCGTGCCAAAGAAAGGAGGGATCACAGTCATCAAGAATGAACATGATGAGCTCATTCCAACAAGAACAATCACTGGACACAGAATGTGTGTCGACTACAGGAAACTGAACTCCTCCACACGCAAGGATCACTACCCCTTGCCATTCATAGATCAGATGCTTGAGCGCCTTGCCAATCATCAATACTACTGTTTCTTGGATGGATACTCAGGATTTTTCCAGAAGACTACATTCACTTGTCCCTATGGCACATATGCTTATAGGAGAATGCCTTTTGGATTGTGCAATGCTCCAGCTACATTCCAAAGGTGTATGATGTCCATATTCACAGATCTCATAGAAGAGATTATGGAAGTTTTCATGGATGATTTCTCAGTATATGGTTCTTCCTTTGAATCATGTTTGGCAAATCTTGGAAGAGTGCTACAGAGATGTGAAGACAAGCACCTAGTTCTAAATTGGGAGAAGTGCCATTTTATGGTTGGAGATGGAATAGTGCTTGGACATAGAATCTCAGAAAGAGGCATAGAAGTTGATAAAGCCAAGATTGAAGTAATGACAAACCTTCAACCGCCCAAGACAGTCAAAGATATCAGAAGCTTCTTAGGACATGCTGGGTTAAAGATACCCCTTGATGATAGGCTACCTGAAGAATCAGTTTATGCAGCTGAAGCTAGCAATAAGCATGGACAACTAAGGCCATCACAGGCCAGGAACAAAGATCTCATCATCAAACACACCATGGTTTCGCCACATAGCAAACTTCCTTGCAGCTGAATACCCACCACCAAACTTCTTTGGCTACAGAAAGAAGAAGTTTCTGCGTGATGTAAGAAGGTACTACTGGGATGAACCTTACTTATACAAGAAATGTTCAGATGGAATGTTTAGAAGATGCATACCTGAGGAAGAGGTAGAAGGAATATTGTTTGCTTGTCATAGTTCTAGCTATGCAGGGCACTTTGCTACTTACAAGACAGTATCCAAGGTCCTACAAGCTGGATTTTGGTGGCCAACAATGTTTAAGGATGCTCATGCATTCATATCAAGATGTGATGCTTGCCAAAGAATGGGAAATATAAGCAAGAGGAATGAGATGCCACAGAACTTTATACTAGAAGTTGAAGTTTTTGATGTTTGGGGCATTGACTTTATGGGACCTTCCCAACCTCTTTTGGTGACCAATACATTCTAGTGGCAGTTGATTATGTCTCTAAATGGGTGGAAGCCATTGCCAGCCCTACTAATGACGCACAAGTGGTCATCAAGATGTTTAAATCCATCATTTTTCCAAGGTTTGGAGTGCCTAGGATAGTCATAAGTGATGGAGGTTCACATTTCATAAACAGAATCTTTGCCAACCTTTTGAAGAAGCATGGAGTTACTCATAAAGTTGCCTCTCCTTACCACCCCAAACTAGTGGACAAGTTGAGATCTCAAACAGAGAACTCAAGAGCATACTTCAGAAGACAACAGGCAAGACAAGAAAGGATTGGAGTGCCAAACTAGATGATGCTCTATGGGCATACCGCACTGCCTTCAAAACACCACTTGGTACCACCCCCTTTCATCTTGTTTATGGTAAAGCATGTCATTTACCAGTGGAGCTTGAGTACAAAGCAGCTTGGGCTATTAAGGAGTTGAACTTCAACCTAAAGACAGCAGGAGAAAGAAGATTGATTCAGCTGAATGAGCTTGATGAGATTAGGCATCTGGCTTATGAGAATTCAAAGATCTATAAGGAGAGAACCAAAGCTTTCCATGACCGCAAGATCATCCCAAAGAACTTTGCGCCAAACGACCAAGTTCTACTATTCAACTCAAGGTTGAAACTCTTTCCAGGAAAGCTTCGCTCAAGATGGTCAGGACCATTCAGGATTAAAGAAGTTCGCCCCTATGGAGCAGTGGTACTATGGGATCCAATGGGAGGAGACTTTACAGTCAATGGACAAAGGTTAAAACCTTACCTAGCCTCCACCACCATACCACAGGAGACCACACTAGCTCTTGGCGATCCACCAGATCCTTAAGGAAGTGCCATACAGTCAAGCTAAAGACTTTAAACAAAGCGCTGAATGGGAGGCAACCCATTGAAGGTCATTTCTTTTCATTTTCTTTCTTTATTTTTCTTTTTTTTGAATATTACCTCTCACCTTAATGTGATTTGCTTTCACCGGGACGGTGCAAGTTAAGTCTGGGGGGAGTTTTATTGTGTTACTAATGCATTTTTCTTTCTTTTCTTATGTTTTATTCATTTGTTTCATGTTTTTCAAAAAGTTTTATTGAGTCAAAAACCAGTCCGGAAGTTATGAACTTGCTTTGAGAATTGAGAGTGTTGTGCTAACAATCCATGACCCTAGAGCAGAAACCAGCTAAAGGCACAAGCCTAACAGAAGCTCTTACAGTGGATCGACATGCTAGCTCAGCAAAATTTCTAAGGTAACCAAGCAATCTAGAGTTAACCTCACCTTAATCAATCTTAATTACTCTTGTCAAGGGGGTTGGCATACATGTCGACAGTTCCTTGCTTGATTTTCAATAAGATTTGTCTAATCTTTAAAGAGTTCTCCTCTCTCTCCCATCCCAAATGGTAAGTAATGTTTATGAGAAAAAGCTCAAAGAGCACAAGGAAAACAAGTAAGCATGAGGAATGCATATGTCTGTACCTTCATGTCTTATGGAATACCTTAGTCAAACAAGGAACAAGCTAAAGACTTATCCTGTGGTTGAAAGAAGGGTCAATAGAAAAAATAAAATGATACCCTAGAAAAGTAGGGATAAATTGACCTTTCAAAGTTCTGATGTGAGAAAGAGAGAGGAAAAGAACTCATTGCACTTAAAGAGGCAATCTTGGAGAGATCAAGTGGGTAAGAACAAGTTCAATTGATCGATGTCCCCTTGATAAAGAATTCACGCTTTAAATTTATGCAAGAGGTTAGCAATAGAGAGTTTGGATTGCTGGATGAGACTAGTTGGGTTGGTATTGTTCGCTAAACTTGCAGGGTGTATGTGAAGCTAACCTTATGTTGTCTATGTTCATAGTGGAATACAGGAAAGGAACCTTTCACAGGATATTCAAAAGAGCAAGGGAGCTTCCACGTTTTCAAACCTCTTTCACGGATTTAGATTCTTTTTGCTTGAGGACAAGCAAAGATCTAAGTCTGGGGGAGTTGATATACCTCTAATTTACCCACTTTTTATACTGTTTTAGCATTGTTTTCTAATGGTTTTTGGCAGGTTTTCTATCTAAAAAGGTAGTTTTACTGTGTTTATAGTGTCTAGAGTCTAAACAGGTGAAATGATGCATTTTGGAGCAAAACCATAGGATTTGCACTTCAAGCAGCTCCATGCACAAGCACCAACTTTAAGAGGGCCCAGAAAAAGATCTACTCAATGGATTTCATCAAGACCAGTTCCCTGCGTGCTCTGATTGAGTTAACTTTCCAACGCAACTGGAATGGCCTAATTTGGATGAGTAGAAAAGGAGTTACAACCAAAAGAGTGAAGACTGTCCAGACGGCTCTATCGAGAATCAGCGCCCAACCGCGCAGTCCGGCTGGCCGAGGAACGAATGTTCCACGCTCGGCCAAATCTCGTCCGTCCGTCTGAAGTCTCGGCCAAAGTCCAAAACCGTCGGCCGATCACGCAATCACGACCCGGGAAACTATTGCCCGCGGTCGGCCACGCACGCCACGACCGCGCACGACCAAACCGCCGAGCCGGGAAACGCCTCGCGGCCGCGCAACTCATCTCGCGTACCACGGCCGATGCATCCGTCCGAGCCGGGAAACACGTCCCGCGTCCGGCCGAGATTTCATCGGCCAAATTTCACCGTCCGACCACGCCGGCCGACCACGCATCCGTCCGACCCCGACCGTTCCGACTCGGCCACAACCCGATTGTCCGGCCGATCGTCCCGCACGACCGTCCCAACGCCGCGGTCGACCCGAAGCCCTTTTTGAAGCCCAAACTTATGTTTTCAAGCCCGGCTTAACCCTAAGCCGCCTCTAGAAAGACCTAGCACTATATATATGGATTTTTAGCCTCTTGAGAAAGAGAGCCGCCCTTGTATTTCATTTCATACTTTGAGTTTTATTGCAATCATGTTTTCTTCATCTCTTTGTGTTTTTGCTTTGATTATGTCTGAGTAATTCACTAGTTAGGTTGTGAGATCTATCAAAGAGTTCATGGTTTGATAGGTTGTTAGAAGTCACATAGGGTTTATCATATCGCATCTTCGCCTCTGCTTGAACTTATTGCTGCTTGCTTTTCTGATCATCTAGCATCAGATCTTAGGTTTCATATACTCTCCAAAAGCTTGCTATATAACCTGAACTAAGTATTTGGTGAGCAAAACTTCATAGACTGCGAAAGTTGATCTATGATTGTGAACAATTGGGTCTTGAACGAATTATTGCTTGATTTAATCACCTAGGGACATACCAAAAGTTTAGCGACTAGGTAGATTAACAAAGGGGTCGGAGCCTCGACAGTGGAAAGATCATACAATCGTGACCTGAGTTCTAGATAGCGCAAACCCTAGTAAACCTTCTAATATCTTGTTAACCTTGAATCTCTGCGAGTTTCTCATTGCCTAGCGTTTCCCTTATTGATTTTCATAAACCGTTTAATCTGCTGTTTGATTTACTTGTTACACAATCAAAAACCCTAAATCATACTTGTTTTCTAGCTATTTTAGACTTGCAATTCTCGAAGTGTACTTATCTGCTCCTTGTGTTCGATACCCGTTTACTACTTTTGATCTGTGCACTTGCAGAATCAGGGATAGGAAAAGGGAAGACCTGATCCCGTGATCAGACTCACCGGGAGGGGCGGTCAGGGTGTTATAGTAACCACATGTGTCTTCCGTGTCACATGGATTTACTCTTAAACATTGTCCACCTAAGTTGTAATGAAAATCAAGACATTGTTTGTTTCAATCTGGAATCTTCGAGCACGGACCTAACGGAAAAAACGCTGTCCTTGCTTCCACAGGTTCTGAATTTATATTTTAGGAGAAAAGGTTTATCGAATATTAAAAAACAAGAATCTAGTTTGGTTTTATAAAATGCCATATCCAATATCTTGTAACAAAAAAACGTATGCTCAATAAATTAAATGAAACAAAAAAATAAGACTGCTTCAAAAAAGAACCAAAAGAAAAAATCTAAAACGAATGCATGTTACTAGTTTTAACATATGATCTTACCGTTTTGTGATTACAATATATATTCCAACTTTATATAACATATAAGATTATATGTAAAAATAGACATGCACCTTTTTACCTAAAATGACTCTTTGCACTATAAATCCATAAAAACTACCTTTTAACACAAGAATCCACTAGAAAACCATTAGAAAACCATAGTAAAATAGCATAAAAAGTAGGTAAAATAGAGGTATATCAACTCCCCCAGACTTAGATCTTTGCTTGTCCCCAAGCAAAAAGAATCTAAACTAGTGAAGAGGTTTTGAAAAACGTGGGAACTCCTTGCTTCTTTGAAAATCCTGTGAAAGGTTCCTTTCCTGTATTCCACTAAGAACATAGTCAACATAAGGTTAGCTTCACATACACCCTGCAAGTTTAGCGAACAATACCAACCCAACTAGTCTCATCCAGCAATCCAAACTCTCTATTGCTAACCTCTTGCATAAATTTAAAGCGTGAGTTCTTTATCAAGGGAAATCGATCAATTGAACTTGTTCTTACCCACTTGATCTTCTCCAAGATTGTCTTTGAAGTGCAATGAGTTCTTTTCCTCTCTCTTTCTCACATCAGAACTTTGAAAGGTCAATTTCTCCCTACTTTTCTAGGGTATCATTTTATTTTTTCTATTGACCTTTCTTTCAACCACAGGATAAGTCTTTAGCTTGTTCCTTGTTTGATAAGGTATTCCATAAGACATGAAGGTACAGACATATGCATTCCTCATGCTTACTTGTTTTCCTTGTGCTCTTTGAGCTTTTCTCATAAACATTACTTACCATTTGGGATGGGAGAGAGAGGTGAACTCTTTAGACAAATCTCATTGAAAATCAAGCAAGGAACTGTCGACATGTATGCCAATCCCCTTGACAAGAGTTATTAAGATTGATTAAGGGTGAGGTTAACTCTAGATTGCTTGGTTACCTTAGAAATTTCGCTGAGCTAGCATGCGATCCACTCTAGGAGCTTCTGTTAGGCTTGTGCCTTCAGCTGATGTTTGCTCTAGGGTCATAGATTGTTAGCATAACACTATCAAATCTCAAAGCAAGTTCATTGTTCCGGACTGGTTTTGACTCAATAAAACAGAAGTTTTGAAAAAGTGGGTTAGGAAAAACCAATTATAAGATCAAAACAACCATGAACAAACACATTAGTACCGACAATCCCCCCAGACTTAACTTGCACCGTCCCGGTGAAAGAAAATCCAATTAAGGGAGTTAAAGAAAGAGGTAATAAAGTGGTTGTGAATGTAAAAAGAAAGATGTAACCTGATTTTGTGTTACTTGAAGAATGGTGAATGCAGTGGAATGATGGTAGTGATGGAATGCAAGTGTGGTGAGGTGGGATGGGTGAGATGCAGATGGAATGAGATGGGATGGTGTGTTGGGCGGCTTGAGAGGACATGGGCGAGCGTGGAGAGGTTCTGCTCGGCCATCTAAGTCGCGCCAACTATGAACATTCTTCTTGTGGTATATCTTCTTTACCATTGTGTGGTTCTTAGATTCCTGTTTCCAAAACTCAAAACAAAACTAGACATTAACTAAAACTAATTGAAAAGAAAAGTAAAGAAAAACACCTTTCATGGGTTGCCTCCCATGCAGCGCTTCTTTTTAGTCATTAGCTTGACTGATAGGATCTCTTAGTTGGAGATGGGGTAAGGGCACGGCCTGAGACATAGTCTTTTAGTTCTTGTCTCATTGTGACCTTGAGTGTGGTCTGGTGGCTCTCTTGGGCGGCCTTGGGCAGTGATGAGGTAAGACAGCTTGTTTGGTGCGATGAATGGTATGGTCTTGTAAAAGACTGTCTTGTCACATTGGCTAAGGACATTCGCCGGTTTGGAAGGTCCATGACAGCTCCAGCAGTGGCCAAAAAGGGTCGGCCTAGTATCAATGGTGTGTCACATCCTCCTTGAATGTTTATGACATGAAAGTCCACCGGGATCTTGATATCTCCAATCTCTAGAAGAACATCAACAACAACTCCTCTTGGCTTGGCTATAGTATGGTTAGCAAGTCCAATACTAATTTGAGCAGGTTGCAAGCGTGTGATGCCAAGGAGTTTGGCGGTTTGGGTTGGCATGAGGTTTATGCAAGAGCCAGAATCGCATAGTGTTCTATCAAAGTAATGACCATTTACTTGACAGGGAATAGAGAATTGACCTGGGTCTTCAATCTTGTAGAGGGTCTTGAAGGTAGGCTGAACTTTAGCTTTCTCAAAAAGCTCTTTATGTCCTCAGGTGTCTCCTTGCAGTTGTGGAAGAAAGGTGGTGAATGGGTAGTGGCGCCAAGCTTCTTTGAAAGACATGCTGGCTGGAAGAGTTTGGACAAACTGATTGAACTCAGCAAGCTTCTCTCTTGATATGGAATTGACATACCACTGGGTGGTGGTGATGATGGTGGTGATGGTGGTTGATTGACTCCATGAGGGGCAAGGGGAAATCGAGCCTTCCTGAAAAGTTGGTGTATCTCTTCTTTGTTTTCACTAGTTGTGAAAAAGAACTCCACTAGACCATGTTTATCCCAAGCTTCTTCAAAAGTGACATAGAATGGAAGTGATTTCACCTTAGCATTGAACTCTTTAAGCTTCATGGGGCTTATCTTGTTGGGATCAATGGGATCATACTGCCAAGTATCTTCTTCTTCAGTAGGTGGTGATGGTCTTTGCATTGCTTCCAATCTTGGAAGTGTAGAAGCTTGACTTCTTGGTGAGAAACGAGGGTCTCTAGGGCTTGGTGTATCCATGCTCTGTTTTGGGGAAGCATTGATGTCGATGCTCTGCTCTTCATCTTCATCATTCAATTGTTCCTCATACTCTCTTTCTTCTTCTTCATTGTCCTCATGGACTTGAGTAGTGCTTCTTCTTGTGATGGCATTGCAATAAAAGGGAGGGTGTGATGATAGGATTTTATGGGATGTGATAGAAATGAGGTGGAATGCAAACAGGGGTGAATAAAGATGAATGGTATGGTGCAATCACAATCAATCAATTCCTCTTAACCATCATAGTCATTGAAGTATAAGAGGTTATCAATCCAAAATGGGAAACTTGTCACTCTTGAGAATATGAAACAACCAGAAAGTCAAGCAAGCAGTTATAGATTTGAAGTAACACTAACAACCTAAAAAAATGAAAAGCAGTGCAATAAAAGTAAACAAAGCAGTGAAGTGTCAGCTCGACCAAGACTCGAGTCGAGTAGAGCAAAGTACCAGCTCGATCGAGTTTAGGGACGAGTTGAGACAAACAAAGCTAAAGGTGACGACTTTAACAAGATAAAGAGAGAATTAGGGTTCAAGACAGGGTTTTGCAATCAAAGGAATCTACACTTAATCAATCTAGCTCTTAAAACTCCTTGTATCAAGGCTTCTCTTGATATTGGGCTTCTCAATGCCTAGCCAACCCTTTCCCAAGGTGGAGGCTATCAACCAAGGAATGATCTCAGAAACAGGGGGTTAGCCAGTGAGAATCAAACCTTGGAGGCTATAGGATCATTGCCCAAACTAATCCATCCAACCCCTTAGACCTCTATTTCTAGAGCAAGAGATATTGGAGCTCTTAGTGGATCTTTTCCAGCGAATGCCATCACTTTCGTGTGGGGAGTCGCCTAAGGACTTACAAGCCAGGGGTAGTGGTCATGTAGCCTTAAGATCTATCCAAAAGAGAGAGAATCTAGATTAAGACCATAAGCTAGAAGGATTAAGCATATGAAACCTCTAATCTATCCCATCTCAAACCCTAATGGGTAACTACTCACTACACATGAATGTAAACACAAGCAAATGCAATAAAAGAGACATCATAAGAAAGAGGAGATGAAATTAAACAACTTTTATTGAAATAAGCAAGTGCAAATACAAAGAGAGATTATCCAGGATCTAAGGATTCAAGAAGCAAGAGCTTCAAGAACACAAAGATGGGATTAGATCTCTAAAAAGTAAAAGACAATAAATTAAAAGAAACTAAAACAAAATAATCTAAAGCTTGGTGGTTTTTTCGTGGCTTAGAGCCTTTAAATACAAGAGGATTAGGTTTAGGGTCAAAGGAAAGTCAAGGGGGAAGCAACATTTTTCGGGTTTGACTTTGACTTCTCAGCTCGATCGAGTTGAAGCTTGGCCGGTCGAGTTGAGGAACTCTTGGTCAAGATGACTTCTCCCTTCTTCCTTTGCGTATCCAGTTGAGCTGCTTCCATGTGCCAAGTCCCTCCATGCTCCTTGTCCCATATGCTCCAGAATGCTCCAAAAGACCTATTTCAAAGGACCAAACATGCATATGTATGCAAATGCAACCTAAAACTAACATGAATGCATAAGAAGAGAAAAGGAACAAGATATGATGCAAATGGAAGCTAAAACTATGCAAAAGATGCATAAAAGATGTGCTAAAACTATGTAAAATGCAAGTACATCAACACCCCCAAACTTGAACTTTGCTTGCCCTCAAGCAAACAAATAGAACAAGAAAGAGATGAGGTTTGAAAAAAGCTGATTCAACACTTAAAAACATGTCCTCAAAAGCGATTTGCTAAATGTCCAACTTAGAGATTCTAGAATGCAACAAGGTGAGAGATATTCATTAAGATTTAACCATGCTTATCAACATCAATCCCACTTCACAGTCACTCAAACAATGCATTCAAATCAGCAAATCCCTTTAACATTCATTAAGCAAAAACAGTGAACCAAAAACATGCAAGATCAATCAACTCATTTGGTTTCAAGGGTTTATGGGTTAAGAGACAAAGAGGGTCTCTTTTGTATGGTGGTTTAGTAACAGGGATCTCTCAAGAAAGTGGCTTTGCTTTGGCAGAAGGCTAAGTGTTAGAACCAAAGATGATGCAAGAACAGCAGCTCGAGCCGCCTAATCCTAACTCGATCGAGTTCAACACTTAGAGCTTTTTAGAACAAAATCCTAACTACCCTTTTTGGCATTTCGCCTTTGAAACTGAGGAGCTTTGCTCACTTTTCTTTTAAGAACTTCCTAGGGAGAGGCTTCTTGAGGTAACATCTAGCGGTTTGGGATTTTCTAAACACTTAGGGAACTTTTCTTTCCTTTTTGACACTTGAGGCTTTGCCTTCTTTTCATTCTACTTAGAACCCTTTTTACTTTCCTTTTTTAACTTCCCAAACCTTTACTAGACCCTTTTTAACACTGCCAACTCCCTGGACTTAACTAAACTCTTTTTCCTTTGGGTTTTTCCCAACTTTTACCACTTTTCTGGTTTTTACACCCAACTCGATCGAGCTCGAGTTGGCACCCCCAAACTTAGCCTGAAAACAATCCCAAGAGAACTAGACAACTAGAACTACTGCCCCTGCCGGTTTAAACACAACACCTTATGCTAAGCAAAGCCAAGAAAGGTTCTCACATTCGCACAAGAGATAAAATGGGGTTTGAAATGAAAAGGCTTAGGTTTAAGGTGTGGTAACTGTCTCAAAGATAGAGATCAGCTATCTGGACAAGCAAAAGGGATATGAAAATGGTAAAGAATGTCCAGATATGTATGTGGTAGCCATGAGTTGAAATCAAATGCAAGCATTGGTAATTAAAGATCAAGTTATGGTTCAAATAGATAGGGAAATGCATCAAATCACAGCAATGGTTGAATGAGATGTGCATGCAGTGATATGATCAAGATAAACATGGTTCTTGCTGCTCAATCAATCTCACCCTAATGCACAAAAGAATCTAAAAACAGGGCACTCAAGAAATCGCAAAAGATGGACAAGTTTTCAAAGTCAAATCAACAATGCAAGTGAAAAATGCAATCCTAAACAAGTCTAACAAATATGAATGCAAAAAGATGAAAATATTTTTGGATTTTTTGAAAATTTTATGATTTTTTTGGTTTTTCTATGCAAAAGATAAATGAAAAACTAAGAACAAAGAAAACAAGGTTAAATCATCTCTTGAACCCTCCCCCAAACTTAAATCACACAGTCCCTTGTGTGAGAAAAATTTAGTGAAAGATTCAAGAGGGCAAAACCAAGAAAAAACAAGAACAAATGCAAGAAAATATGAAATGGTATATACAAGGGTTGGTGTTTGGATACCTCAGTGTCCCCCAAAGAACTGGGAGGCTAGGTCGTGGTCTGGAGATGGTAGACGGCCATCAGGAGCACTCCATGCAACTGGGTTCCTTGCGGCTCACTCGATCGAGCTTGCGGCTCCTCTTCCTCCTCTTCTTCATCTTCAAAGTGTGTGGCTTCCTTGGCCTTGGTGGAGCTGGCTAGCTCGAACTGTCCATAGGGGTTCCATCTACTGGGGAGTCCTGGTAAGGCTGGGATCGTACTCAAATCCGGATCTCAAACTGGGGCTCCTCCAGGTCAACTCGACCGTCAGCTCGATCGAGTTGAGTTTCCTCTGTTTGGACTCGATCGAGTCCGGTGGTCGAGCTGGAGCGTCTGGCCTTGGAAGTCTTCCTCCTTCTCTGCGTGTTGTCTTCTCCTTCCCTTGGCTCGAAAGAAGAGGCTCTGTGAGGCTCTTGGGCAGGGAGCCTCCTTGGTGGTGAGGAGTGATCTACTCCTAGGGAAAGTGGGGGCCTTGGACTTCTTCTTCTTGCTTGAAGAACCAGAAACCTTCTTCTCCAAACTTTTGATCTTGCTCACCATCTTGTCCATGGACTTTTGCATCTTTCTCATGGCTTTCCCTTGCCATTTGTTGAACTTTTGGAGAAGTCCAATCCTCTTGTGGGCAGCCACAACAGAGGGGTTCATCCTTGGAGCCTCATACTCCTCAAAGTAATAGCACTCAGGCTCACCCAAATCGCGCTTCCTGGACTCATCTTCAGCTTGATCTCAGCTCGATCCTCAGCTCGATCGAGCTCAGGCTCCTCTTCTCGCAAATCATCTTCATGCCCAACTAATGTGTACACAGGGGGTCTGAAGTCAATGTTCTCACCCCTACCTGTGGTGAGCTCAGGGTTGGGCAGGAGAAGCTTGGAGGGTCCAGCCAATGGATGTGTGAACTTGAATTGGAATCTCCCATCCAACTCCTTGTGCTCAATGAGGAGGTTGGTCTTGCAAAACTTGATGTCCATCCAACCTGGTGGAGTAGACCTTCTCTTGTCAGTTGACTCCAGCTGCACAAAGATGGTGTGATGACCCTCCAACACTTAGCTTCTTCCTCTTTGGTGCCTAGTGTTGTAAGGCTGTGACTTGTAGGTGGAGCTGCTCAAGGAGAGGCATGAGTTCCCTGTGTGTCTATCTCCTCTGATCTTCTTCCCATCCTTGTGCGTGAGATGATGGGCTTGATTCCCATGTCAAGGAGCTTCACTTCTCCCTCATTGATTGTCCCAGTGCCTTCCTTGCAAAGAAGGTGTTGGCAAGTGCCTTGTGCACATATCTCAAGCACTGGGCTCCTGATCTGAGCAGCCTTGGACCTTGAGGAAGAGTACCTCCTCAGCGATTGTAGCCCAAACTCTTTGGAGTTCTTCTTCCTTGATGTTCCATGGTTACCTTCTCCATAGTGAACCCAAACAGATCTCAAGCTGCCTAAAGGTCACCATCTTCTTCTCTCCCTTTGCCAAGAACGTGATCCCCCAATCCTTGGTCCAACTCAGCTCGATCGAGCTCATCAACTGTGATACCTCATTGAAGCCAAAAACTCACAAGTGAGCTCCTTGTAGACTCCATGCGGTGAGAGAAGAACTTGGCCAAGTGCATGTTCTTGAGCACCAACTCCACATCCTCAAAGATTCCAAGGGCCTTCATGTGTCATCATGTGGGTACTTGGTCTCCACAAAGTCCATGGAGAAGAGAGCATTGTAGTGCTCTTGGTACATGGGGAGCTCATCCTCCTCTTGCTCTTCTCAGCCTCCTCCATGGCTCATCTTGGTTCTCTTGTCACTTCATCAACCAATTGGTTCACCTCTTCTCCTTCCTCTTCACTCTCAGTCCTCACTCCTTCCTTCATTTGGAGACCATTTCCCTCCTCTTGAACAAGGTTCACTCCAATCTCAAACTCCCCTTGCTCACTCTCACTACTAATGGGTCATTCCTCTTCTTGGTTCTCCTTTCTTCCCTCAATCTCTCACTCTCAGACTGTTCCTCAGAGTAGACATATCCTCTGCATCAGACTCTTCCATCCTCTGATCCATCCTCTCCAAATCGGCTTGCATCTTAAGCCTTCTCTCTTGCATTGCTTGATTCACCCTCAACCATTCTCCTCTGTGAAGCGGCTTCCCTCACTGTTTGTCATCTTGTTACTCTGTTTCTTCACTAAAGTACCTGAAATGCATCAAAGATTACAAAGAATTAGAGTTGTAATGATCGGTTTGGTCAACTCGACACTCAGCTCGATCGAGTCAAAAAACTCGAGTGACAAACTCGATCGAGCTGGGTGAAAACAGAGTATAACCAAACCTAATTCAAGTATTAAGAGCTGGAAAGGATGCTAATCAATCAAATTGAACCAAGAACAACTAGTAAATGGAACAATGAGCAATTCTAGTGAAAACTAAGCATCTTAACCAATACCAAACTCAAATTCAATTTCAAGCACATGCAACAAGTTTAAAGGCAAAACAGAGGTGAGGTGAAACAAATTAACAAGATTATACAGCAGAGGCGAAATATGAGCAATTACTCAAGAACAAGTCCACAAGGGACACATGCAATCAAAAATCAAAGGAAACAAGCAATAGGAAATCGAGATGGAGGAATCAAGGGTTTTAGGGTTCATACCTTGCTTGAATGATGAATTGAAGAGCAGTAAACAAAACAAGCAAACAATGAAGAACAAGAGAAATCGCAAAAACTTAAGAGAGAAAGATTGAAATCGATTTTCTTGTGGTGAAGAGAGAGAGAGATGAGTTTCAGAAATTTTAAGATTGTGGGAGAGAGAGAGTGGATTCGATCGAGTTATGGGGAAGAGGGAGTGTTTGAGATGTGTGGTTGAGATTAAAAGATGAAATAAAGAGGGACAAGAAGCTAGGGATTCTCTGATCAAATTAGGGTAGTGGGGGACCAAAATCAGCTTGTGGGACCCACTCCCTTGACCAAGAAAACGGTTATGAATTTGAAATTCAAAAACTTACCTCGGTCGAGTTGTGAACTCGATCGAGTTGCCCTGGTTTCTAGCTCGATCGAGCTGTCGGTCGAGCTGGCTCCTTTGACACCTAAACTTAACTTATTCAAAGGTTAAAACATAAAGATAGATAGAAATTGCATAAATAGAATATGTACAAGGATAAACATGGGACTTCCTCCCAAGTGAGCTTGTTTAAGGTCCCATAGCTTGACCTTTACCTTCTTAGGCATTGGTTGAGCTAGTCCCACCATCAAGGGTGATAGTGAGGACTTGAGACAGAAGCTCCTTTAGCTTGGTTGGGTCCCTGGACTGTTCTGAAGTCACCAAGGCCTTGGCTCTAGAGAATGGCCTTGATCTCCCCTTGTACCTTATCTTGTACTCAATCTTCCCATTTTCAAACTTGGTGGGGAACAAAGTCATTGTGAGCTGAGATGGCTTGACTGAAGGGGCCTGAGCTGGTGGATCCTTTCTTTTATCCCTGGTCTTGCCTTAGAGGCTACATCCTCCCCTTCTTTTAGAGCCCTTCCTAGTGGCTCATCAAACAAAGCTTGAAGGCTCTCTTCATCAAGCACACAAGGGGCTTGAACAAGTCTCTCAGCTCTTGGCCTATCAGACGTGGTTTCTCAACTCTAGCCCTCTCAAGACGTGGCTTCTCAATCCTTGGTCCTCTCTCATCCTTATCCTTCCCAACTCTTGGTTCTTTGTCAACCCTTTCCTTCACAACCTTTGTAGCTCCATGACTCTTAGAACTGAGATTGGTACTGTCAATTGTGGCACAAAAGTCTGAACCTCTAGGCTGCAAGCGATATGACACCAAACTATTCACCTTGTGAAGGATCACTTCTTGCTTGTGAAAGTCTATTGAAGCGCCAACTGTACTAAGGAAAGGGGTTCCCAATAACAGAGGCAAATCCTTCTCTTCTTCCATTTCCATCACAGTGAGATCAGTTTGGATGATGCATTCTCCAATTTTCAAGTGATAGTTCTTGAACACTCCAAGAGGAGACTTAGAAGTTGCATCTCCAAACATGATTGAAGTAGTAGGGCGCTGCAAGGCTCCAGCATGCCTAGCTTCTCTGCCATGGAGAGAGAGATCAGATTGATGCTTGCTCCAGAATCCACTAAGGCATTGTCAATCTCAAGATGCCCAAGTGTGCAAGGGAGAGTGAATTTCCCTTGATCCTTGACCTTTGGTAGGAAGGTGGGTGAAGTAAGCAGGTTGAACTGATGAGTAGACTCTTGTAGGACCTCTGAAACTTTATCACTGTTGGCTAGAACATCCTTGACCATTTGCATTTGATCAAATGCCTCACTCATGCTATCCATAGGAGGCAACTCAATTCCAATCCCACTGAGATCTCTTCTGAACTTGTGAATCACTTCCTTGTGACCTTGACTAAGTAGGCGAGACGAGGAAGCGGCAACCGGTTGGTAAGGATCAAGCAAAACAGGTTGTCGGACAGAAGAGGTCGGACTCGATCGAGCTAGAGTTGGACTCGATCGAGCTGCCGATCGAGCTTGTCGTGCGAGCTCAACTGGTGAAGTGTGAATGGCCACAGTAGGTGCATGCACTTCTGGTTGATCAATCTGGACTCCAGGAGCCTCAGCAGCAACAATCTCTTCATCATTCAGCAGTAAACAAAAATCTTCAATGACCCTTTCTTGATCCTCTTCTTCAACAAGTCCTTCTTGAGTGAAGATGACCTTGCACTGTTCCTTGGGGTTCTGAATAGCTTTACCAGGTAGTTGTCCTTGCTTTGTAGCAGCAGCAACAGAAGAAGCATGATTCTCCAGAGAGTAAACCCTTGTGTTGAGGTTCTCGATCTTAGAGTTTATTTCAGCTAGCTTCTTGCTTGTGTCCACTACCCCATCAGCTTGCCCTTGAAGTAGTTGCTTTAGCATTGCTTTGAGCTCATTCTCTTGTGAAGGTGCAGGCTGGGGCGGTTGGTGGGGGAAGCCTGGTGGGATATTCATTTGTTGTCCAGGGAAAGTGCCTTGTGGTCCTTGGTAATTGTTCTTTTGACCATACCCATGTTGTGGCACCTGACTCGATCGAGCTGCTTGTTGTTGAGGATATACTTGGTCCTGAGGGTTAGCAACATCAGTGTTGCGGTATGACATGGCAGGGTTGGACTTGTAATTATAGTATCCTTTGTTGTAACCTCCTTGCCCATTGCTCATGTAGCACACCTCAGCAAATTGTGTATCCTCCCCTTCTTGGACTGGTTCCATCTCCTCAGCAGACACAAAGTTGACTTTCTTCATTGTGGACTGAGCTAGGATCAGCTTATCCAACTTCTCATTCAATGCCTTAACATCTTTTCTCAACTTTTCGTCTGACTCGATCGAGTGGTGGGTCGAGCTCCGGTTGGTGCGATCATACTCTTCTCCATAGCTTCCATTTGAGTTAGCTATGTTCTCCACAAGTTGCCAGCCATCATCTACATCCTGGTTGAGGAAGTTCCCATTGCTAGCTGTGTCTAGCATCTCCCTATACCTAGGCAAGCATCCTCTATAAAGAGTGGAGAGTAGTGATTCATTGTTGAATCCATGGTGTGGGCACTGACTTGTGTAGCCTTTGAACCTCTCCCAAGCCTCTGCGAATGTCTCATTGTTTCGCTGGATGAAGCTGGATATCTCTCCTCTAAGCTTGGCTGTGCGACCGGTGGAGAAAAACTTAGCAAGAAAGGCCTTCTTGCATTCATCCCAAGTGGTGATTGTGCCATGGGGCAAGCTCTTCTCCCATTGGTGAGCTTTGTCAGCTAGAGACATAGGAAAGAGTCTCAGCTTGATGGCATCTTCAGAGACACCATTGATCTTTGTCAAATCACAAAGCCTATCAAACTCATCAAGGTGGTCAATGGGGTCTTCACTTGGCAATCCATGGAACATCTTGTTCTGGACAAGGTTGATCATTCCCAGCTTGATCTCAAAGTTGTGGTTCTGCACTGGTGGTGGAACAATCCCTTGTCTCTGTTGGTGGCGGTTTGGAGCATCTCCTTGACCAATCGGTCGAGTTTGCCTAGCTCGACCGAGTCCATTGCCCAAAGGGTTTCCATTCCCCTCTGGTACATCCATTGTATCAGCAACAAGCACCTCAGGTTCCTCTTGTACCCTCTGTGACCTCTGAACCCTCTTTCTACCCGTTGTAAGTCTAGCTCGACCAAGTCTTCAGTTAGACCGACTCGATCGAGTTCGCATACACCTGCAAAAAGAGACAAAAACCCAGCAGTACAATAGAACAGGGGTGGTATAGCTTGATCGTCCAAGTGTTTGAAACTCAAATGCAACAAAAATATTCCCAAATCGGCAACGGCGCCAAATTGATGATAGGATTTGTGTGTGGATGTGATATGAAATGAGGTGGAATGCAACAGTGGTATATGATGATGGTAAGATGCAACACAATCAACAATTCCTCTTTAACCATCATAGTCATTGTAGTATAAGAGGTTATCAATCCAAAATGGGAAACTTGTCACTCTTTGAGATATGAAACAACCAAAAGTCAAGCAAGCAGTTATAGATTTGAAGTAACACTAACAACCTAAAAAAATGAAAAGCAGTGCAATAAAAGTAAAAAAGCAGTGAAGTGTCAGCTCGACCAAGACTCGAGTCGAGTAGAGCAAAGTACCAGCTCGATCGAGTTTAGGGACGAGTTGAGACAAACAAAGCTAAAGGTGACGACTTTAACAAGATAAAGAGAGAATTAGGGTTCAAGACAGGGTTTTGCAATCAAAGGAATCTACACTTAATCATCTAGCTCTTAAAACTCCTTGTATCAAGGCTTCTCTTGATATTGGGCTTCTCAATGCCTAGCCAACCCTTTCCCAAGGTGGAGGCTATCAACCAAGGAATGATCTCAGAAACAGGGGGTTAGCCAGTGAGAATCAAACCTTGGAGGCATAGGATCATTGCCCAAACTAATCCATCCAACCCCTTAGACCTCTATTGTCTAGAGCAAGAGATATTGGAGCTCTTAGTGGATCTTTTCCAGCGAATGCCATCACTTCCGTGTGGGGAGTCGCCTAAGGACTTACAAGCCAGGGGTAGTGGTCATGTAGCCTTAAGATCTATCCAAAAGAGAGAGAATCTAGATTAAGACCATAAGCTAGAAGGATTAAGCATATGAAACCTCTAATCTATCCCATCTCAAACCCTAATGGGTAACTACTCACTACACATGAATGTAAACACAAGCAAATGCAATAAAAGAGACATCATAAGAAAGAGGAGATGAAATTAAACAACTTTTATTGAAATAAGCAAGTGCAAATACAAAAGAGATTATCCAGGATCTAAGATTCAAGAAGCAAGAGCTTCAAGAACACAAAGATGGGATTAGATCTCTAAAAAGTAAAAGACAATAAATTAAAAGAAACTAAAACAAAAGTAATCTAAAGCTTGGTGGTTTTTTCGTGGCTTAGAGCCTTTAAATACAAGAGGATTAGGTTTAGGGTCAAAGGAAAGTCAAGGGGGAAGCAACATTTTTCGGGTTTGACTGTTGACTTCTCAGCTCGATCGAGTTGAAGCTTGGCCGGTCGAGTTGAGGAACTCGACCGGTTGGTCGAGTAGACGGTCGAGCTGGTCTTCAAGATGGCTTCTCCCTTCTTCCTTTGCGTATCCAGTTGAGCTGCTTCCATGTGCCAAGTCCCTCCATGCTCCTATGTCCCATATGCTCCAGAATGCTCCAAAAGACCTATTTCAAAGGACCAAACATGCATATGTATGCAAATGCAACCTAAAACTAACATGAATGCATAAGAAGAGAAAAGGAACAAGATATGATGCAAATGGAAGCTAAAACTATGCAAAAGATGCATAAAAGATGTGCTAAAACTATGTAAAATGCAAGTACATCAGGGTGATTGGGTGTTGGACTCCTCTCTCTCTTGTAATTGACATGAGATGATCCTTCAAGGGCTTGTAGGCGGTTGTAGATTGAACTAAGATGTTTGCTATTGTCATAGTTAGTAACTTCAATTCTCAGGCTCTTGTTCAACAACTCTTGATATTTGGAAGCAACATCAAGCTTAACTAGGGTCAAAGATCGATCATGATCCTCTCTTAACTTCTTAATGTCTTCATCAAGCTTGAACACTTGCTTGAATAGGACTTCAGATTTGTTTCCAAGGCTCTCATGGATGAAATCGATTCTTCTCTCCATCTTCTTTGTACTCTCTTCTTGATTTCTCAAGTACTCTTGAAGCATCTCTTCAATCTTGGTTTGGCGCGCAGCTTGGTAGCTCTCCCTTGGGAAAAGTGGTGTCTTATTTATGTCTGGCAATGATGGATGGTATTGTGAATAGCTTGGGCGTGGTGGTGGAACATAAACAGGACCTTTGGCGAATTTTTGAAGGAAAGCTCCCTTGTATCCATTCCAAGTCTTGAAAGCATGTTGGGCATTGAACTTAGCCCAGTCTTTGGCTTGTCCAGCTAGTGATAGTTGGAAAAGTTGTATCTTCTTGGGATTGTCTCCAAGTCCATAGTCATGACAAAGTTGCTCAAAGTTGCATAGATGCTCCTTTGCACATTCTGAAATAGAGTTGTAGAAAGGATTCCTCTCCACATGCTTGATTAGCTCTTCATTCAGAACTTCAGGATGGGGTGGTATGCCTCCCCATTCTTCTTCATTACGCTCTCTCTCCAGCTGATGAGAGTAGTGGTGGTACTTGGATTTGAAAGGTGGTTTCCTTGCAAATCTCCCTAAGAAAGCTTCTCTGAAATCGATCCATGACTCGATTGTAGAGGTGGCTCATGCTGCGCCCAATCTAGTGCTGGTCCAGCTAGTGATGTGCTGAATAGCATCATCTTCTTCTCAAAGTCAAAAACTCCATAGGAATCACAAAGGTTGTCAAAGTGATCTATGTGCTCCAGTGCATACTCTGAAAACAGATCATGGAATTGATCTCTCTTCACGAACTCGATCAGCTCAGGGTCAATCTCCTCTTCTGGTGTGGCTAGAAGGTGTTCTTCTTGGTGTGATGCGGCTTGGCTAGACGTCTCCAGGTCGGCTGCTTCAAGGTAAGGAAGAAGTTTCTTCTTTGTCTTCAAAGAGGATGGTCTTGGAGGACTATCCCATGAAGGTGGTGGTGCTTGAGGGCTTGACATCTCTTGTTCGCTCAAGAGGTGCTTTGAGGTGGTATGTGGCGAATTGGCATCGCCTTTATAGGGGAAGAGGCTTGTGGCTCCTTCTCCATATCTAATTAGGAAAACCTGAAAAGCTAAAAACAAAAAGGAAAAACAAAAAAGGAAAAACAAAATCAAAGAAAAAAGGAAATAACAAAAACAAAAAGGAAAAGTAAAACCCTAGACTAGCTCTCTTGCAAGAACTTGTAGGTGCGAATTGGTCCCCGGCAACGGCGCCAAAAACTTGATCGCGGGATCAGGTCTTCCCCTTTCCTATCCCTGATTCTGCAAGTGCACAGGTCAGAAGTAGTAAACGGGTATCGAACACAAGGACCAGATTGCACACTACAACTATGAGTTTGAGATCGAGCTAGGGCAAAAGTATAAGTTGGTTGAGTGCAGAGAAAGTAAAGCATGCAAGTAATAAAAGTGAGATTCAATAGGAGAGAAAGGCTAAGCAATAGGATAGTCTTGAGATAAGCAATTCAAGAAGCATGAAATCAATCAATTAGGGTTACCGCACTTAGGTGCTAATCTAGAACTTGAAACACTATGGTATGATCTTT